AAGGAACTCTGTCTGGCCACATCTACTAAAGAAGTTACAGTACGACGAACGACGGTTGTCAGCGAGGAGTGGGCCCCTGTCAAACTTAGGGAAAAACAAGAAAATGATCCCGTTTTAAAGAATATGCAACAATGGAAAGAGGAAAATTGTCGACCTACTTGGAAAACTCTCTCCAGTAGTCAAATCATATTGAGCTCAGTGGGACTCTTTTGAAGAAGGCCTATTAAAGCGAGTACTAGATAATGATGATGGTTCCGAAAACAGAAGACAGTTGGTCATTCCAAGGAGTAGAGTAGCCGAAGTACTTCGTCAGTAACACGACAGTCCATCAGAAGGACTTAAAAAAAACATTAACAATAAGAAACCCCTTCAGGGAGTTTGGAAAAGGTTTTACTGGATGAACAGTTCCGATGATGTAAAGGACTGGTGTAAGAAATGTACCACCTGTGAGTAAAACAAGGAAGGCTCCCATGAAGCAATACAAGCATTTGAGAGGATGGCCTTAGATACTGCTGGACCATTCCCTGTGATCGAGGATGGTAATAAATACATTTTGGTGGTTATGGATTATTTTATAAAGTGTGTGAATGCCTACGCCATCCCAAGTCAAGAGGCCGCAACTACTGCAGATGTGTTGATAAATGAGTTTATCTGTCGGTTTGGAGTGCTCTTAGAGATTTACATTGACCAAAGCAGAAATTTTAAAAGCCAATTCTTTTGTAAAATCTGTCACAGACTAGGCATGAAGACAACCAGAACCACAGCATTGCACCCACAATCAGATGGAATGGTAGAGCGAATGAATAAAACCATTGGCAAAGATCTATCAAAAGTAGTTTCTAACCATCAGCGAGATTAGAATCAGTATCATTTGCTCTTTGCAATGGCTTATACATTCGCTGTCAATGAATTAATAGTCCAAATACCAGCAACGGTTCTATTTGGGCGTGAGATGAGACTACCGTGCGACCTTGAGTATAGATGCAGACCTGGAGAAGATGTAGCTGGTTAAGACTTTGTGATCCAGTTACGAAAAATAATGGACGATATGCATGAATTGGTCCGCTCGTATCTTCAAATCGCCAGCGACATGATGAAGAAACGGTACGTTATCCAAGCTACAAAGAGATGTTTCAAGGAAGGTTTTTCTACGAAGTTTAAAAGGTTTTGGGAAGGTCTGTATCTCATCCAGAATAAAATTAATGATGAAATTAACCGTTACCGTATAAGTAAGATCCCAAATGATAAACCGAAGGTAGTGCATCAAAACAGGCTGGCGCCATTTGAGAATGACCATGAAGAAGAAGAAGAAGAAGAAGAAGAAAAAGAAGAAGAAGAAGAAGAAGAAGAAGAAGAAGAAGAAGAAGAAGAAGAAGAAGAAGAAGAAGAAGAAAAAGAAGAAGAAGAAAAAAAAAAAAGAAGAAGAATAAGAAGAAGAAGTAAACCAACCTAAAAAAAAACCTGACATTGTCTTTGAAGAATTTATGGGTGCATATTTATTGAGGGATTGAAAAAGCAAGATATGGTGTTACGATCGAGCAACAACAAGATCTGCTAGCCGCAAGTATAATTGAAATTTACAAAAATAAAAAAATATATATTAGAGATCATAGAAATATGTTTTATGGTCCAAGAGTTATTTATGATGGTTTACCACAAGAGTCTGTGCTCTCTCCAATGCTTTTTAACATTTATACAGCAGATTTGTATAGTATGTTTGATGAAAAATAAAAATAATTCAATATTCAAATGATATTTGCATACACACTATCCAAAGTTCATACCAGCAAGGTGTGAGTAAATTATCGCATGAAGTGTGTCATGTACTGGATTGGCTGCAGGAGTTAGGGTTTACTATTTCTCCAGAAAATCGTCACTCATGTGGTTCACAAGACAGAAATAGTTTTATGGAATAAAAAATATAACGTTCCCAATTGTAAACCAGTACAGATATCTAGGCATAGTCCTTGACACAAAATTGTTATGGATAAAACATATTGATTATATACAAAATAAGTGTGCAAAAGGCATTCATATGCTGCGATATGTTACGAAAACTAAATATGGTGCAGAACCTAAAATGACCCTTATATTCTATATTAGGTCAATTATGGAGTATGTGAGTGTGTTATATGGATCAGCATCCAATACTAATTCAAAAATAATTGACCGAATACAATATAAAGCAATAAGAATTTGCATCGGCGCCGCAATGAATTCATTTCCATGCTTTGCAATGCTTGCTGAAGCACGAGAACTGCGCTTAAATTTAAGAAGTACTTTTTTAGCTAATAAATTAGTAATTAAATACAGAACATTTAACACGTACCTTGATCAATCTATCTCTCAATTATGTATAGATAATTTAGTTAATACCTACTGGATATCACAAAAATATCCATTACTAGCAGATGCATTCACTAATACCAGTGTATTTAGTAAATACTATAAACAAGCTTCAAAATATCCACTTTATGATCAACACTTTGAGGTCACTGTAAGCAAGTTCACAGCATTATATCCTTTATATTCAAATATTAGTGTTATTAATAATACCCTCGTTTCATTCATACTAATTCGATTTACTAATACAATTCAAATATTTACAGACGGTTCGAAGTCTGAAACCAGTACAGGTTATAGTCCCAATTTTCAACTATATACAGAAAAGTTGAATCCCGAACTATTGCTCAATTTTTAACTGATGAAGCCAAAGCAATTGAATCTACTTTTGAGTGGTGTCTTAGTGAAAAAATAAACAAAGCTGTAGTTATGTCAGATTCTAAATCTGTTCTACAATCATTGGAAAGTAATGCCACAAAAAAATATAATCAACACTTAATAATAAATATTAGATCCTTATTGTGCAACTTAAGTAAAAAATATTAAAGTAGATTTCATTTGGACCAAAGGACATGCAGGAATACGAGGGAATGAAATTGTCGATTCGGCGGCGAAACAAGTTACTCTCCTTGGTGAAATAGAGGATGTATTTGCGTACGAAGATATAATCAGTTTCTTTAAGAACCAAATGAGTACAGATTGGAAAAATTTATGGAATGCCTACGTGTCGTATCATCTTTCAATAATCATTACGTTGATATACACCCTACACTGCCAAAAAAAATTGATTACATTTTTTTGTACAATATCAGTAGGTTATATTCCATAACAATAACACGAAAGAAACTAAACCACGGGTATTTTTCAGCATATTTATTTAGAATCGGTATCAATGAGACCCCTACATATGAGTGTGATAACTTAACAGTCGGTGACTTGAACCATATATTTTTTAACAAGAACAATTCCGACAAATTCATTAGAAAACTAGTAAAGTAAATCTCCTAACTAATATCAGTACTTTACTAAGTACTTTTAATAAAGATATATATGACGAAATAAATTGTAACCTCAACATATAATTACCTATTTTTAAAATAAAAAAAATATCTGTGGCTAATAGACTTAGTCTAAAGCCAACAACCCCTCCTACACATACACACACAAGATCTGCTATCGCTTCCAAAAGACTACTTGCTGGTCCATATTACTTCCACGAGCATCAACGACGCACGAGGACTCGCATACGTGTTCCGTAAGAAGTTTGGTCGACTGCTAGAACTTCAATGTCAGTTACCAGCCCCTGGAAAAGCCTTGAAAGTTCATGACGAATCGCGCTACCTTTTCTATCTGGTAACAAAGAATACCTTCCGAGATCGATCCACTTATTATGATGTATATTTTTTAGTTATTGAGATTAAACATACAATTAAATAAGTTATTATTGTGTAGAATCGATAAATATTAGAATTTATATTTTTATTTTATCTATAATTATAAATAATTCGTTAGTTAGTTTAAATAACACTATATTAAGTCAATTTAATTACGAGTATTAAAGCAAACAAATAAACGCATAGATGGTCCTGTGGTCAGCGTTCTTGCCTTCCATACGGAAGACTCGAGTTCGAATCTCAGAAAAATGAAATGAAATGAAATTTTTTTTCTCTTTTTTTTTCTTGTTTATTTTATTTTATAAATTATTAAAAGTCATAAATTAATTTTAAATTATTTATTGTATCTTAATAACCTAAAATAATTTTTAATATTTGTAGATTTTCGTTAGTGGGTCGTAGAAAAAATATACTGTTCAACTCGAGTGTATTGTCCATATTCATTCTTGTTACACAAACTACTATTATCTTTGTAACTTGCCGCTATATCGCGCAATATATTATACAAAATATATAAAATTGAGTTTTTCATAAAAAGATCAATGGTGTTTTAAACTAAATTTTATTTTAAAGTGTAATGAGTTTATTTATTTTCTTCTGTTAGTTGTACGTGTTGCAACTTAAAAATATATTTATTTTTAAATACCAAAGGACAAAGTAATATTTCAACTATTTTTAAAAAAACTCTTAAGACGTCTTTAGTAGCCCACATTAAGAACGATTTATGTTAAAATTAATGACATAAATTTTTTACCGAAATCTTTGGCAAACCTTAATATTTTCGCACGCTTCTTAGTTCTTTAGATAAAGACTATGGTGCAGGTACAATAAACCCGATAAATAAGCTCTTTTCTTTTTAAAATAATAGATATACCCATGAGCCTCCCTGTAATTTGTTAAGCGCCGCGGTACATGGAATAAGCCGGGCATTGTTTTTATATAGGTTCTGGTCTTTGTAAGAGATTTTACTTCGCTAATGATGTCGCTTTTTGGACTTTATGCCTTATATGTCTTCACGGATGTTCAGAGTCCTTAAATAGCGATGCATTAACGAAGTAATTCATTGGCGTACGAAGTCTCTGTCGGCACTTAAGCAACCAGACAGAAGTTTTAATATATTATTTTGTCTTTCGAAAGCGGGAGAACTTTGTGGGTTAACCAATTAGTAAAACAAATAGACGGATCCATTACTTTGAGCAATTTATTTCTAAAAATTCTTAGTCGGGTTTTAAAATAATAATTTATTTTTATTTTAACTTTCAGAATGTAACTGCAACGGCTTTTCTAACAGATGCTATTTCGACCAATCTTTGTACGAAATAACAGGCCACGGAGGTCACTGTTTAGACTGTAACGCCAATAGAGATGGACCGAATTGTGAAAAGTGTCGTGAAAACTATTACATGAGAGAAGATGGTTACTGTGTTCCTTGTGATTGCGATCGAATTGGTGCTAAAAATCTTCAGTGTAATCTCGAAGGAAAATGTTACTGCAAACCTGGTGTAACTGGTGAAAAATGCCGTCAGTGCGAAGTAAATTTCTATGAGTTTTCTTCTTACGGATGCAGAAGTTGTGGATGCAATGAGTCTGGTTCAGTTCAAAATACACCTACATGTGATCCGTATTCCGGGAATTGTAACTGCAAGGAAAATGTTGAAGGTAATGTATTAAAATAAGTAGGTACATAAGTTAAAATGTGACAAATTCAAAATAATAATATACAAGAAAATCTCAAAACCGTCTTATAAAGTATTATAATAGTTTTCCTCTGAACAATATCTACTTTTTTTGCTAATACCATGAAAGGCATTGGAATATTACTATACGTATCACATATAGCGTGCTCTCGAATAAAACTGTTAAGTGACAATTTCTATGTTTTTCCACAGTTTGGGGTTTAAAAATAAAAACGAGACTAAGTATATCTCAGGCTCAATCAACTATATTATTTTAAACTTTGCTTGATAGTCCCTTTTTCTCAAAACAAATATATTTTAAAAACAACTATACAAAATAGGTCACAATCAGACATATAACAAAAATAAGCCTAAAAACTATAACAAATATACAAAATTTACTTATAACTCCAATATTTCACTTAGATATTACTAACTTTATTTGTTTAATCCGTGATCTAACCTTTCGCAATCGATATCCAGAGCCTCTAAACAGAGTATCCGCAATCTGGAGTCGCTATTAAAACTGGAAGAGTTACCTCGCAGAAAATTCTTCCCGGTGGAAATAGTTCCGTTTCTTTCACAAAGATTATATTTACACCCTATCTATAGTTTATTGTTATTGGACTAATGTTTAAATATTAAATAATCAATTTTGTACATGATTGAAACTTGAAACAAATTCGCAACAATATTTAACAAGGTTTAATGTACAGGGTGTTATTTAAATAATTAATTAAATTAAATGTGTGTAGTGACTTACATGCACTACATATCTTCATCACACTTTCATTGCGTCACTTGCATCACACGCGTCAAACACATCAAACACTCGTTATCCCTTGATAAACTTTTATTGCATGGCAGTTCTATAAAGACAAAAGATGGAGCTCATCACCTTGTTGTTAGGAATGAAATATTTATCATTATTCCGATTTGGAGTTTTTTATACACATATGTCGTTTATTTTAAAAATATAATATACAATATATATCCTCCAATTAATTATTTCTTTATTTATCAAGGGATAACGGGTGTTTGACGTGTTTTTCGCATGTGGCGTAAGAGACGCAATGCAAATGTGAAGAAGATACGTAGCGCATGTAATTCACTACATACCTTCCTCTCTCTTTAAATCTAATCAGTTCTTGGTTTATGATTGGAATCCTCTCAAACTCGATAGTGTTGTCTGTTGCATATTTCTATGTCTGTCTTTACTCAACCCAGAACAAAATTTTAATACACTGAAAAGGCGCTTTCTAATATTCATCTATGCCTTCATCAAAACCGTTCTTTTATTCATCAAAAATTTTTAGGTGAGTCATACATCATATTCTTTAATTTAACCTTATTCTCAGATGGTTGTCACCAAATCCGATTGTGTTGATGTACTGATGGATCACGTATCATAACCTTAAATTAATAATTATTAATAAACAGATATGAAAATAGGAAAAGTTCTCCCAAAATTCTTGATATGAGTGAAAATACTCACTGTATTTTATCAATCCAATCTCTAAGTCGGCTTACTTCTAAAATAATATTGTCAGTATATTAGATACAGGGAAAGCCGTGGCATAACGGACACGTTAAGGACAAAAAATCATAATTTTCGTTTAAATAAATTTTACTAAAAATAACAAGTCGAGTTACATTGCTTACATGTTTATTAATAAAAAAATATATAATATATTAAACTAACGCAAAGGTTAACTTAACCACAATTTAAAAAAAAATATTGTCATATATTTGCTCGTTGTTTCCCGGAATAGGATGAAAATTGGCGCACTTGAAAGTTTGTTTGTATTTATTTTTAAAAATCTCAAATATGAGAACACTCATCATCGTCATCGGCTTCTCTGACGCATGAACAATGGGTCCATTTCTGGTATTGACGACACGCCACCAAATCTTCATCGGAATCCAAGTAGAAATATATAAAACAGAAACAATGAACATCATCTTCGACAACCTCTTCAGAAACGCTATTCTTTACCCTCGTTCTTGGCTATTTATCTTGAGGTTTGATTCTGTCTGTTATGTTGATGGTGCTACATCATGTCATTTTTTATTGTTAAAACTTTGTGTATAGTCGAAAACTTTTCTCTTTTTATTCTTCGCTTTTTCCGTTTGAGACTTAATATACGCCTTGTTCCTAGGTTTTTAGTAATTCGTTATTTAATTGGGGGTTTTTGTAATACCCATAATCATGTGAGACAACTCGCCCGGGATTAGTACGTAACTAATTTTTGACTTCATTAGCATAGTAGACACTAAGATGTTTCATTTAACACGTCCAAGAGCTGTAATCGGTGCTGGGGAAAAACGAGCAGCCCATTTTGCCCCGCTCAATATGCCCCGAACATCATGATTCATTATTTGCAATAAATTACTAAAACAGCTATGGCTAAACTATGTTTTAATGAATGATTTGAGACAGCAATGTTTACTAATCACCACAGTATTACAAGTATTGCACAATTTTGCAAGCACTTTAAGTTATTTGTAAAAGAAAATAACAAATTTTTTACTTCACTTAAAATAAATAAATATCGCTGACGACCATGAACATGCTTTAACAAGACGGTACCGCTACATGTAAGTTGAAGGGGCTTTGTAAACTAACACAGAACGTTATTGTCGGACTTACATTTTTATGAATGGAAGTAGGGCTAATGTTCGTTATGCCCCGGTGTCCGTTATACCCCGGCTTCCCCTACAGCAAGCAAATGAAGGCAAGTACATATTTTTTCAATTATTGTATTACCCATACTTGTTTTTAGTTTTTATGCTTATCAAAAAGTGTTTAGATTTATTTGTTTTTTATTAAATAAAGATAATTTGACAGTTAAGATTATTGATTGCACTAGTCGACAATTTATTGGTCACGTGATTTATCATCAGTCCATCATTTTGTTGAATATTAGAAAACGCCTTATATGAAATTATTGATATAATTATCAAACATATGTCATTAGTAAAAACTACTCTAGATAAATGATTTCATCAGCAAAATTGCCCAGTTGTGCATTATCCAAAACAATACCGGAGTTGGCTGGATTTTTTTATATTTTTCTGAAACCAATTTTCAAACATAGTGCTATCCATTTCTTCATGGTAGTTTCTTGTTTTCTTTGACCATCCGGCAAAAATCTATCAGTGCTTCCAATGTGGGTTGTTATTATTATACGAGTTTCTTTTCCTGTTGGATTTCTTAATCCACAAGAGACCCATTCCATAAAGGATTGTTGTTTAGTTTTGATGGAGTTATCTTGTCAAATTTTTGTCACTGTATGTCCAGCATTAGCCCATGTTTCATCTAAATAAAATACCTATTTATGCTGATTCCTTGCATCTGCTATTTTCCTTAAATAACCATGTCTCCCCTCAATGATTTCGTATTTCTCTGTGAAGAAGCTGTTTCTGTCACGTTTTTGTAACCAAAATTTTATTGATGTAATATTTTTTTCCGATGAAAATATGATATATTTATAAGAGTGGGGCTATTTTCTATTTCTGAGTGTAATTTTTTGAGAGTAAGAATTCCATTTCGAAATAAAAAAAAAAAGGACAAATGTCTTATTACATTCGTTACCCAAGTTTCAGTAAAGGTCTTGTTTCTTCCGGGGGGGTTTTTTCGGATGTGAGACTTCTCCAATAACTGTATCTTCTGTAATACTATAATGTTTAACACTGTCCGCATAGATACTCTAGTATAGGTGTTACATTTAGTGGCTATTTCATCCACAAAAAGTAAAACAAAGTATTTTTTTTTTCTTCTAAAGACAATGCTTTACGTCCACTAGTTCGTATACGCGTACTTATGCTTACAATATTTTCGCCATTCTTATATAACTATAAAATTATAATATACATATACATATATAATTTAATTATTTAATTAGTTTTTCGTTGTTTAAACAATAACATCAACAAATATCGAGTGTCATCTTACACTTTTATAATCAGAAAAGCCTTCCGGAGGGGGTGGGTTGGCCCAATGGTTAGAGTCGTGACTTTGAGATCGGAAGGTCTGAGGATCGAATCCCACCGGTGTCAGGGATTTTTATTCAATTAAAAAAAAATTAAATATTAATTCTAATGCATAGGTAGGATTCCCCACTCGACCATTCACTGTTGGGTTATAATTAACAGTTCTGTTCCTAAAGTGGCGCTGGGAGACAGTAACAAAGCCTACACAGAACACGAGGCTAATGGCCGTAGTAGTCGACGCCGATGACACCAAATTAAAAAAAAAAAAAAAAAAAGCCTTCCGGACATTTAAAAAAAAAAAATTGCGAATTAAAACAATTTTGCAAACGAATGCGCCAGTATGCTCTGGTCTAATAACTTATTTTTTATTGTAAATTTGCCAATTTTTTTAGATTTTATTTTTATTTTAGGAAGACGATGTAGAGAATGCAAACCAGGTTACTTTAACCTCCAACAGGACAATCCCTTTGGTTGCACTCCGTGTTTCTGCTACGGCCACTCATCAAGTTGCAAGTCCGCGCCGGGTTATTTCAAGTACAGCATCGAATCTGCGTTTTCACGAAACGACGAAAGGTGGAGTTCTGAAGATATATACGGCAGGCCTTCAAACATAAAATACGACTCGATCACTCAGAGTGTAGGTGTAAGGTCAATAAATGAAGAAATTATTTACTTTGTTGCGCCGCCGAGATTTTTGGGCGACCAAAGAGCATCCTATAATCAGCTATTGGAATTTGTATTGAGGATCAGCGATAATAGACCGACTCCATCGCCGACTGATATTATTGTTGAAGGGAATGGCGAATCAATTACTAATACGATATTTTCTCAGCAGAATAAGCTACCGTCAGTAGAGGTAATGACATTATTAATTTTTGGTAGGTAATACTCAATAACTAATAATAATGTTCCGTTTTCAAATTTAAATTAATGTAAAACATGTATTTCTGCTGCGCTTAATTTTATATACTAAAAATATAACGCGTCAGCATAGCCAAAAATTCATATACGACTTGTAAGATTATAAGAGCAGCCAGAATTCTCATTGAATATTCGTAACAATAACTAATTTTGATAGATGTCATGTGTATGTAATAAAGATCAGAAACCAGTTACTGACACCAAAAGAAATTAAAAGGTATTTATTGCCCATATTTTTACGCAAGCCGTGTTTATTAAATGATTAGCTAACAGAACTAGGCTTTGAAAAACCAAAGGCTTTAATGTTGCAAGTGGCTAAAGGCTTGAAATAAGAGCGTAATCTGGTAAGAAAAAAAATGAGGTTTTAACCAATTTTACATCGTCATCAGTTTAAAAAACATATTGGCTTGAATGACCCGAACAAGGGTGTTATTCTCGAGATCAAGAGAGTAAGTTACGTATACGCATTTCTTGATTTTCGCTTGAGAATTCCAAATGCGTAGTCTGGAGCGATACAAAACTAATCGTATGCGTATTTTTATTCCGTTATACGAACAATTTTATCCGACTATTTTCTACTGGGTATAACCCATGAGAAACACAAAAGTCGAATACGAAATGTCTTATAAATGAAGTTTAAGAAAAAAGAAAGGTTATAGATGTCAGGTTAATGGTTTTATTTTATCTTTATTTCATACATATAGAGAGTAAAAAAACCTAATAAAGTAATAAATTAGGTTATTCTGGGAGAATTTGAGCAGGAGGCCGATATACTGAGAATGTTCCATAGGAACCAAGATCCTTTTGTTAAATTGTCTGATCGAAATTTTAAAACCGTATTTAGATTAACTAAAGAACTAGTGGATAATGTAATAGAGGGGTGTCTCCTTATATAATTCCTGATTAGAAGAAAAGTAAGGAATTTCTAATAAATAATACCTACCTATTTAATCTGACAAAATCATGGTACTTTATTTAGCCTTTAAACAATACAAATTATGGGTTTCAGGTTTTAACAGCTATTACATTTTTTGCAAGTGGTAGTTACCAGCAAGATGTTGGTTATAATCTAAACTGTGCAATGTCTCAGCCTTCTGTTAGCAGATGCCTTGCTTTACCTTTGACACTACTACGCTTTTTAAGGTTATGTCACGTATATGTACTTAAGTGCTTGTTTATTATTTATAAAATAATTACTGATTCCTGTCGCTTGACCAATACATGCCTTTCAATTTAGGTCGAACTTCAAAAATTTAGATAATTTTTGCTAATGACAAGCAACCTTTAAAACTAATAAGTTTTTAAAGTTGCATGCACTGCTTCGAAACAGTGTTGTCAAATTAGTCATGCGAAAAATGTCGTGTACGTAATTGTATTGTTCTAGTGGTGTTCAAGAATATGGATTCGAATTCTTATGCGCAAATTTTTGATAGAGTAATTTCGTATGAGAAAATGTTCGCATGAAATCGAGAATAGCATCCCGGATAAGTGCATTTTGGGATCTAAAAATATTTCTGTTGAGGAAAATCAAATTTTCCATGTGTTGTCCTCAAGAGGCACTCCTTAATTTCTTTTCATTCTACTTAATATCGATGTACCTCTTCGAGGCTTGTATGCGAAAATGGGGCAACTTAATTTGTCACTATTTGACGGTAAATAAGAGTCTTTTTGTTAAACAGATGGAGCAATATTTTATGCATTATTAATTATGCTGATCGACATGTGTTGTGTATTTAAATTAAAATGCTGTGCAAAATTCTGTCAAAATTAGAAATGTTTATTCATTGTTTCATCGCCTGCTGAGTTCTAGAAATATGCTTTTGTGTAATTCATTGTCAAATGATTAAATGAAGTATACAGGGTGTCCCAAAATTAGACGGTCATATCCTAAAATAGGAGTAAAAGTTCATATAAGTATAGGTCCGAAAAGTTTCGTTTTCGAGATACAGGGTGTTATAAGTGAAGTCCTGATAGCACTTATTTCATCATCAATAATGACCTATAGAAATTGTTTTTTGAATAAAAAACAGTGCAGAAATCATACGGTCGGACGAAGACTATTATTGGTTCTTTTAAGCCTAGCAAGTGTTGTTTTATCTTATGTTCATTTATTCTTTAGTTTTATTTGATCTACAGTTTAATTTGTTTTTCAGTTTCATTTGTTCTGTTTATTAGAAAAAAATGTAAAATATTCTTTATAATATGTTCTAATTCCATTAAATCCATATTTTCAAATTTTGATGGTCCTAACTTTAAAGTAAAATTCGTATTTTATAAAACGACTAAAACATTTCACCTGCCAGAATGTCAAGCAGAATATAATTTTAAACATTTGACAATATGGCCGCGTGTTTACCGTCATTTTATAAAACACCTAGGCATTATACAATTCGACTAGCCAGTTCAGAAAATAATATGAATGTTAAACGAGAATTTGACAATGTGGCCGTTTTTTGTAAAATGTCTAGACATTTTATAAAACGACGGGTTTTACAATTTGGCTACGACATATACACCGTCTCACAAATATAAACTTGCAGCCAACATGGTGTAATGGATAAGACGTAGGCTATCGAAGCAAGTGATTGCGCGTTCTATTCTTGCAATCTTTTATGTTTTTCTTTTACTTCATTTTTTGTTCTAATATCTGTAATTTCTAGCAGGTAAATTACTAAGATTTGATACTTATTGTGAGATATGTGTGTTATCAAAGAGCTATTTGTATTTAATTTTTAAATATATTTAAAATAATTTTCTGGATATGCAACTGTCTCATATAAAATACTTTAGCTTCATCAAACAGTGCCATATTACTACGGTATGATATGGGTTTAGAATTAAATTTTAATTACCATTTTTAAATTGTATTTAGCTTTGTGATATGACATTCAGTAGTGCCACCCCATCCGATAATTTCATGTGGAAAATCTTATTGCACCAGAGTTTTTGGTGTTTTTAAGTTTAAAAAATTGTAAAAGTTTCTAAATTTAAATAATAACCCTTACTGGTGTTATTAATTTACAAATCCCACTTAAAATTACGATCATGCCTAAATACTTCATAGATATATAGATTTTGTTTCTGAAATTTCGCTGTTTTCATCAATATTCAGTCTATCAAAATTTAGCAAATTAATTATACGGGGTAGCGAAAAACTCTGGCTCCAAGGTATTTGTTTTTTTTTTCTGAAACGAATGAATGTATAATTATGAAATTGTAGGGTCACGAATGGGACTGTATTGCATTATTATTGTTCTTTTATGATCTTATACATACAGGCTAGCGAAAAATTCTAGCAACAAGGTATTTTGGGGTGATGAATAGGCCTGTAGTAAAAGTATATTCTTGAAAATTAGAAAAAATAAACGTATTATTAGACCTAGGTTGCCTTAAAAAAAAAAAAAAAATGGCAGTGGTATGCTAAATGCTGGCGTCACATCAATTTAAAATGACATTGAAAAATTGCAAAATACAGTCCCATTTTTCACTTTACAATTTGATGTTCGTACATTTATTCATTTCAAAGAAAATACCTTGTTGATAAACTTTTTCGCTACCCTATATACAGGGTTTTTATTAATTGAGTATCGATACTTAAGAGTGTGAATCCTTTTAAATTAAATTACATGAATTATTTTAAGAAAAAAAGTTAATATCATCATATGTCGTAAAACTCTTAATTTTTGAGCTAGGGGTTGCTACAGTTTTAAGAAAAAAAAACAACTTTTTTTGTCCTAATTTGCTTATCACTCGAGACGTTAAATATTTGTTTTAATTTCTACCAGTGACGTTTGTACGGGGTTTGAACTAAATATGTTTAAAGAAAAAAAAATGGTGCGCCACTGCTTTTTCTAAAATTAAAATTATTTTTAAAATCCTCATTTGTAGTAAATTTGGTCCATATATTACTTTCGTATATGCATCGTTTTGGCGAAAAAAAAAAAAGTGGATGGTAAAATTTTATCCTTAAATTCATTGAGCCTGCTTTTGACATTTTGTTAAAATTTGGTCGGCACCCACCATATAAGAAAACATTTTATTTGTGGGCTTGCAGGTGGAAATTCATATAAAGCCATTCGAATATACCAAGAGCGGTATCCGAATCGCATATCACTCGATCCAAGAACATTTTCTAGGATTCATAGACGTCTTTATGAGCCCAGAATTTGAAGAAGGAATTTGACATGAAATTGAAAAGAACAGCGAAACTAGCTCAAGGAAAACGGCGGCAACATTTAATGTTTCACATGTACTTGTTTGGAAAATTCTCATCGCTCCCTAGAGATTTCACCTAATTTGAAAAATCCGTTATTTGAAAGGCACATTCTTTTTACCGATGGCTAATTTTTCTTAAAACTCAATAATAAATTTTCATAATATTTTTTTCCCCAAAAAAAGTGTTTCCACGCATGGTGAGTGCCTACATAATTTCAACAAAATATCTAATGCAATAATGTCAATGAACTTTTTTCAATTGACCAAATTTACTCCAAAATAAATGAGGATATCAAAAATAATTTTGGTTTTTAGAAAAAGCAGTGGCGTATCTTTTTTTTCTTCAAAACTGTTCAGTTCAAACTCCCTACGGACGTCACTGGTAAACATTTAAAAAATCTATTACATCAAAAACTGCTCCTTAATGATTAAAAGGTGTGTTCAAAATTTCATGATAATAATAATAATAATATTAAAATAGTTATTTTTTTCTTAAAACTGTAACACCCTGTAGCTCAGGTTTACGACATATGTTGACATTGACTTTCCTCCTTAAAATTACCCAAAGATTCACACCCTTAAGTTCTGGCACTCAATTAATAAACACCCTGTATATGTATAAAGTAAATGGTATCTAGTTTTATTAGTATTCAGAGTTTATTTAATTGAAACCATTTTTTAAAAATTTAGTTGTTTTTAGTTTAAGTTTATTTTATATATTTTTAAAGATACTGAAAGTAAAGAAATAAGCTGGTTATTTTGAGAATGAAAAACTTATATTTTGTAGTTTGATAATAATAGCTATTAATAATTATTGATTTCCATTAACAAATAAGAGATTTATATCAGGTAACTATGAAATTGATGAAAACAAAAAATCCTTAGGTATAAAAGGCACATTTGAAAACCAAGGGCGGCTCCAGGGAGAGAGCCATTTTATTTCAAAAATATGCTAAAAGGGAAATGGCTAATGTAAATGGTTCCCTCCGAAAATTTAGCCTGGAGCCGCCTTTGTGGAAACCGATACCAATAATGAATTCAGGCCCCTTACCTATGCGTCCTCAGTATTGCATTTATGCCGACAAAAATTAAATATTTTTATCCCTACTTTTCAACACTTTTCTCTACGTTTTCGATTAGTCCGAGAATCCAAAAAAATCTTCGAATTCTTCAAATCGGGAATCCTATTGATTTTCATTATTTCAGGTGTAACTTTGGTGCTTTATATATCAGTTCTTTGAAAATGGAGCTTATTTTATGCAGTGCGACACGGGTACAGGATGTCACAATTTCAATAAATTGCCATGAATGTCAGCTCTGGAACCACAGATATTTTCTTCTATATTACTGTCATTCCTAAACGTCAAATAATTGATTTAAAGTTTTTTCCTTCTTTTAAATAATTATATTTGATTGTTTATTAATTGCAAGTGAAATTCATAGATAAGTGAAAATAATTGCTTTAAGTTTAAATAAATGTGGATCTTACGCGAAGAACAAATACAGCATGGTGCTTTAACGATGAATTTTGCACGAGCATTAATGAATTTCAGAATGTATCTGAATTTAAAATTGAAATCATGCCGGTAGAGCCTAAATAATATATTTACATTGACAAACTTAAAAGAATAAATATTCCAAATATGCACAGATAAGATTAAAGGGTAAAGGGTCAATCACTTTTCATAGGTAGACGTACGGGGTAAAGGGGCCGAATATTTATCATTCTAAATCGTTAAATCCTTTTAATTAATCGGATACTAAAGGATTATATATTTATCTCTTTGATTTAAGAATATATTATTTTAATACGTAATACGATTTAATTGGATTAATAAAAGTTTATAAACTCATATTTATTCCATAATGAATTCATCTTTATTATACAGTCATGCGTAATGTATACTAATGCAACCTATAATAAAATATAGCGCTCTCTCCGTTAAACTACTACATTTTGATTTACTTCTTCTAGAATCAAAAGTTTAGTTTTCGTTTTCACGAACATCCTGATTATGGTTGGCAACCCACCCTGACATCAACGAATTTTATATCAATATTAACAAATGTAACGGCAATAAAAATTAAGGGGACTTATACATCAGCAGGAAGCGGCTTTCTAGATAATGTAAAACTATCAACAGCCTTAAGAGGAGTGGCTGGACAAGCGGCTCAATGGATTGAATCATGTGACTGTCCAACAGGTAGAGCTTATTATAAATAACTTTTTTGAATTATGACGATGGTCAGTCCCCATGACGAAAATACAAGGAACCCGAGTTATATTTTCTAAATATTGAGATTAGAGGAAGTTGTTAAGACTTAAAAAACAGTAGTACCTTCCAATTCCTAATCGGAAATGAAAATAGCATTATCAGTAGCAAATAATAAATTTAATTATTAGGAACTGATATTCGTGACATTTCAAAAATTTATTATATTACACTAGACATTAAATATTTAAATTTAGACAGTTATTTCGTATAAATTATAATTTTTAGGTTACGTTGGACAATTTTGCGAGTCCTGTGCTCCCGGATTCCGACATTCACCTGCATTTGGCGACTCTTTTCTTCCTTGTATTCCATGCGATTGCAATAATCACGCCAGCATCTGTGAATCTGAAACGGGCAAATGTATCTGTCAACATAATACTGCAGGAGATAATTGCCAATTTTGTGCTAGGGGTTTCTATGGCAACGCTTTAAAAGGTAATGTAATTTATAATGGCACATTAACAATATTTACTTTTTCTTATTTAAATCAGGTTTAAAATAGTATTAGACACATTTTATATTATTAAATTGATTATTAAAAAAACTAATAAACGTTCCTTAAATTAGTTTGGACATGATTAAGGACTAATATTAATAACTTGCAATTTGCTTGCTATTAGGTTAAAATAAAACTGTAATAACTCTCTTTTAATTTAAAGGCACTGCCAACGATTGTCAACCATGTATTTGTCCAAATGAAGGACCCTGTATACAAATTGATGAAGAGACCATTACGTGTACAGAATGTCCTATAGGTTATGCAGGACATCGATGTGATTTTTGTTCGGATGGCTACTACGGTGATCCCAATGGACAGTTTGGTACAATTATACCATGCCGTGCTTGCGACTGTAACAAGAATATAGATCCTAATGCTATTGGTAACTGCGATACAAATACTGGCCAGTGTTTAAAATGCATCTTTAATACTGATGGTCCTAAATGTGAAGTCTGTTTAGCAGGTAAGCTAATCTAAGTATGCATCTTCGTTGATGAAATAAAGTCTTCTTAAATTATTACTACCAGTATTAAAATTGTAGGATTTTAAAAAATTTCCATGCCATAGATTCCTTCAAGTTAAATATATCTTTCTCAAACACTGAAAACTTTTTACCTACATCTGTACTTCTATCTACATTCTGGCACGTGAACACCTAATATTTTGGTCACAAGCTACCACTGATTACTTGTGCCAATTGTATCTATGAGGATCAAGAGCATTGAGATAGAATTGAAAAGAAATGCTATGACGATGCTAAAGTGTCTGCACCTTTCAGATACTTTGATTTTCTTTTACTTTACGAAGAATGGTCGCACTGCGCAGCTTTCTGAGTGCCTTTTAAAAGGAGATAGAAAAATATGCCATTTTAATCCCTTATAACGTGTTGCCTACATCTTAGCACAATATTTTTAATAGGTGCGTATTAATCATCCGCTTCTGCTTCGGAATTGTCGTTTTTTTTGTTTTAATCTGACAGGTTAAAACGACTAAACCGACAATTCCGGAAGCAGAAGCGGATGATTAAAACGCACCTGATATTTTGCTTGCTGCTATCAGTGTCAGTGAGTATTATTTTTGGAGTCACAGTTTATTCCTAAAGAATCAGTTAGCTCACTCGGACCAGTTGAAAGTTCCAAAATAACATCCACTCCAGGGATACAAATTCGGGATACGCAGAAGACTGCTATTTTATTATAGGCGGTTGTCATATATTGTATTATCCGAGTTGCGCGGTGTATAAATTGGAACATTGAGATCAAAAGTGCCGACGCAGAGTGAGCGATCTGATTCTTTAGCTATGAACTGTGGCATAGGAATCAAAATGGCCGCGCCTTATGTTGGGCGTGTGGGACCTCTCTCTTGCAACGTATATTAAAGAAAATCAAAGTATGTGGCACCTTTACATTATACTTTTACGTCCTATATCTAACTCGAGATAGTGAAGCTAATCAGTTTTGGTAAAAATAAATGACATTTTTGATAAATAGCTTTATTTAAATGATATAAAATCATTTTCATTTTGCCAGTCTTCAAATATAAAATTAATGATTTCAAAGAAATCGAAGTACCACTTACATCGCCATTTTCATTACATTTTTCCGTCACTCGAAGTACGTCCATGTGTTATAACGCAAAATAGTGTTTAGGTCGTCTCTACTTTATTCTAGCTCAATGACCAAGAGATATTGGCGAATTTTGGCTGTACATTTAAATCTCAAGCTAGGGGAATAAAACCTATTATAAATTTAGACAAAATTATAAGTATTAAAAGTATTTATATTTATTAAGAAAATGAATTCCAATTCTCAAATGCGACCAATTTAAAAATTAAAAATAAAGGAAAAGAGAAAATCTCAAAGTGAAAGGTCGAGCACTGTTTCCAACCTAAAAATAACTACTCCTTTTACTAATAACGCGACATGCATTGCATTATATCAAAAAGAAAATAGCAGGGATGGAATAGTATTTTCAACACCAGCTTTGATTCTTCTTCTTTTTTTTCTTCTTCTTTTTCTTCTTTTTTTTTCTTCTTTTCGCCATTTCGTCCTTATTAGGATGATTAGCATGATTTAGACAATCTCGACTTCAGTCTCTTACGAAGTCTGCTAGATGCGTTACCTCACTAGTATTCATTAATGGTGGTTAAGAAAGTGTAGGTAGTCAGTGAGTAAAAATAATAATGGCATCTACACTTAGGAAGCTAAATCAGAACTCGATTTGGTACCTAGTTCTCTAGAACGCCAAATTATAACCAGATCGGCAATTATCAAAGGAAATAAATTCACAAATTTGACCAATTTAAAAATAAAAATCAAAGGAAAAGAGATTTATATTTTTGACCAAATTTACTGCTGCCGTTTAAAATGGACAACTCACATCAAGGATCTCTGAAGGGTAGATCTTGGCTTTCAAAAAGTCCGGACTATCATCTATTTTTTTTATGTGTATCTGAGTTGCAAACAGTTTATACTTTTAATTTAATTTCACAAGCAAAGCCGACTAGGTATCATTCTTATGGGTAACAAAATACAAATTGAAAATTGTTATTAAATATCGAAAAATCGCAATACGAAATCCGAAAAATTAGTAAATCTAAAGAATAAGAGTGCAATATTTAAAAATTCGGAAACCGATATCAGAACTCCCCCTACAAACTATTAAGACAATCCCCGAACTCAAAAGGTAAAAACACATATTTGGAGATTTAAAAAAAATCTTGTCGGCATTAGAACCCAGATATCTTTGTTCTGTACACTGATAGCCTACCTTCAGACCATCACAACATTGACTGTCAAGGTTCCTAGGCGGCAGTTTGATGTGCTAATTCACCGTAAATTCGTTCTTAAATCTTCAAATACCTCTTATACAGCATCGGTGTATATGATGTTCCTCTTTAGTTACGGCAACAACATTGGTTTATGCATAATGGTGCTCCAGTCCACTTTAGCATATTGGCTCATGAGTATTTGAATGGAGCTTACCAAAATCATTGGATAAGTCGTAAAAGACCACAATTCTGACCACCTAGATTGCCCGAGTTGAACAGCCTAGATTTTTATTTTTGAAAGCACCTAAAATCATTAGTTTATGTTACACCAATCGAGACAGTAAAACAACTAAGGAATAGAATTGTTGATGGATATGAAACCATACGTAACAGTTATGGAATTTTCGACATAGTTGGTCACTCGATGTGAAGAAGAGCAGAAGTCTGCATAGAAGCGAGAGATGGTCATTTCCAACAAGTATTGTTGTGAATATTCTGTTAAATTTTTTTTATTTTTCATTTGTTAGAATTTAAAAAATGGCTTCTGTATCCGTAACGTGTGGAGGGTGGGTTACCCCCACGGCATTAGGCCTTACTAGGCCCATTGTCTATCCTGCTAAGGTGATAGGCACCTCCTAGCTCGTGAGCCAGCCAACAAATTTAATGAAGTTGACAACGTCGCTAAGAGGTGCTTCTCTTATATCGGCCAGTGTTAGCCGATACTCGCCAAATACCAATCGTCTATTATATGAGAGTATCGGGCAATCGTAGAAGATATGCTCTCTTGTCTCATCTTCTTGTTGTGACGAAGTCACTAAATTTTATTTTTAAACATTTTTAAAAATGTATATTTTAATTAATTCCCGCCTGAGGACATGTGGAAGATCCCCCTTATTTGTGCTTCCCAACAATTCCCGTTTTTTAAACAATTGCGAGTACCCTCGTCGGTTAAAATATTTCTATATTTGCCGAAATCCAAATGGGCGTTTGATTTAATTTCGTATCAATTATCTACTTGCACTTATCAAGGTACTAGTAGGACATTTTTTTAATATTTAAATTGTAAACAGTCGGCTGTAGTGGTGGTATCTCCCTCCCACTCCGAATTGCCGGGCTTCGAGCTGGCCTGTTAAAAAGGCATAAATAAAATGACAAGTAAAAATTTGCTCTCTTTGATCGCTAACCACGTACTGACTTTTCTACAGTGTTTGCCGTCGTATCCGTAAAAGTTTTTAGTTTTCCCTAGCATACCAGTGGCTATGTTCTTCCCGTTTACCAAGGTAGGAAATTTTCTTATTTTCGTTTTATAGTTAGTTTTGGACATCCGTTTAATTAGCCGGAGAATTTTGATTCTTATTCAGAGTGTTTACATTTTACCCCTTTGTGGGGAACCGTTGGCAATTTTTACTTGAGGCTAGATTGAGGCTTGATTTATGAGTTCTCTCAATCTCGACGATTCTATCCAATCTCTTTTAAATAATGCCCTAGTTAACGCTGGAGTGAGAGGTTCAACCCGATTTTGTCATTCTTTTTATCATTGAGGAATCCTCCCATTTTACTTTCTTTTTCAGAGGCTTGCTTCGTTCTTGTGTTATGAGAGGTCTCAATATCACGAAGCTATCTAGTCTCTTTAAGAGAGATTCTAATTAATTACCGTTCCTCACTTCACGTTGTTTTTTTGTTTATTTATTTAATTTTATTTAAATCTTTCCGTCACTAACTAATTTTTAAATGAATCCCGACTTTCTTTCTCTGATTCGAGAACACCGCTTTGATCAGCGATAGCAAATCTTCAATGGATTTGTTGTCCGAATTTTAGTGCTTTCATCGTATAATTTTACCTCGAAGCCGTGGTAGATATTTTAATTTAATTTCGCCGTCGAGTGATCGGTGATATTCAAATGACGACTAGAACTCGAATACAAAGGGTGCCGAAATATTCGTTCAAATTAATAGTATCTTTTGCCTGTAATTCGCCCTTATTTCCATGTACTGTTTAAGCATTATTTATAATTTAGTTTTATTTATTGTAAACTTTATTTTTCAAATACAGGGAGTGTCGTAGCTACCCGTTTTCATTTATTTTGGAGCTTCTTAATCGATCAGCCGTATTATTAAATTTAATTACTACGTTTTAATTATTTACCGTTAACCATTTTGACCAGAATATTTAATTTAATTTTTGCTTATTGGGAAAATTTATTTTCTGTATACAGTAAGGTACATAATTTTCGGCTTGATCATTTTTCGGTATTAGTGAAAGGTTATATTTACTTTAATTTCATTTAATCGAGAATTTTAATTTTATTTGTTGTTAAGTTTATTTAAAATTTATTTTCTGTATACAGGGCGTTCCGTAACTTTTGTTTCAATTGTTTTCTTATATTCTATAACCATCATGTTTAATTAATTTTTATTACTGAAAATTCATTTTCTGTATACAGAGAGAGGTGTACTACAGGGTCGCAGAGCAAACTGTGTTACTAAAACTGGCCCCCGAGCAATCCCTATTCTGAAATCACCATCTTAGCGCCACACGGACTTTCTGATTCACTGTAGGTGAACCAGAAGCCTGTCACATTGTTCGCATCCCATGCAGAGTGCAGATTCTGACAATTCCATGATATTGGAGATGCTTCCGTATTTGGCAATGACTACTCAGAAGCGCAGATTCTATCTGGTTATAGTCAAGT